ACACTAGTAAAAGTGGCATAATCAAAGAGCCCTTCAAGTTGTACATTAATGTAATAAACCTCTGGAAATTTGAATTTGGAATAAAAAAAATCTCACCTAAATTAAATTAACATAGCATACTGTGCACCTGTTCACAACTCATTACTGCAAACAATTATTTGGTTATGAATGGTAAGCAACTTAGGAGTGTATGATTAAGAATAAGATATTTTATCAAAGTGTATATGATGACAGTAGCATATTGAAACTGATTTTCATCTAAGCAGAGCGGGGAATTGGAAAGCTATACTTTCATAACAGTAAGAGATGCCACGTTTATATGTTTCTTGGCATGAGACATCCACATTTCCTATACCAAATGTTAATGATATGGCCATGTAAAGGAGTATGACATAGCATAGATGACTTCGTAGTAGTGTTCAACTGTTCGCTATGAAAAACAGAGCAAATGCTATTTTTCCCCCTCCCTATCTCTCTCTGTCTCAGCCTTTCTCTATCATAGCAGGAAATGCTCCTCTTCTTCTTGGCAACCAGATTGGGATTTCTCAGTAGGCATTTAATCAGGCATTTGCTTGGGGTCATAACTTTGCACTATTGAAGATGCAAGGAGAGGGAAATTTTCAGCAACTTTTTTTTTTTTAAGTGTTGGCTCAATACTAGAGTGGTATTACCACGGTGAACATGGTGAACAAGGCACAGTCCCTGCTCTCATGGAGCTTACATTAGTGGGTCTTCCAGTCGATAAACAAAAAGTTGCAATGCAGTATGATAAATAGCACAACAGCGGGAAGAATTGTGTGACAAGGAAGATATGTAAGAGGCACCTAATCCAAGCTTGCACATGGAAGCCAAGGATCAAGATTGAGTTCCCAGGGTTAAAAAAACAAAACCAAACAAAATTATATGAATTAATTAAAATATTCAAGTTGTAAAAGCAAAGAGTCATTTTCTGTCCCATCTATCCATTTATTTATTTACCTGTTTTTCTAGTTTCAACCTGTGCCACTGTTGAGTTCCGCTGTGCAGATGGGACTTGCATTCCAAGATCAGCACGATGCAACCAGAACATAGATTGTGCAGATGCTTCGGATGAAAAGAACTGCAGTAAGATATTCCACTACATTCTGTCTGTTCATGCATGGGCACCTTGGCATTGCACTGAACACTGTCCAACTTCTTACTGAACCTTGTCCAGAACTAATATGTAATTAACCCCTGTTGCGCAGGATAATTGCATATTTACTTCTGCAAATGAAGTTAACTTTTCTTGTCTCTATGACCTACATAGAAGGCTCATAATCTTTGCAAATGAAGTATTTTTCACTTTTCTGTTTACCTGTTTCTAGATAATACAGACTGCACACATTTTTATAAACTTGGAGTGAAAACCACAGGGTTCATAAGATGTAATTCTACCTCACTGTGTGTTCTGCCAACTTGGATATGCGATGGGTCTAATGACTGTGGAGACTACTCAGATGAATTAAAGTGTCCAGGTAATTCTAGAAACAAGCAAACAAAGAAAAAAACCCGTCTTTGCCTTGAAGATTTATAGGCTGGTTAGTTGTATATAATAAATTTGTTTATTTT